TGGTTTGGTATTTCAGAAGAATGAGAAGACAGGGCAGGATTGTATTGGTTACGTGGATTCTGATTATGCGGGGGATCTGGACAAGCGCCGGTCTACTAGCGGATATGTGTTTACACTAGCAGGAGCACCGGTGTGTTGGAGATGCACACTTCAGTCTACAGTGGTTCTCTCCACTACGGAGGCAGAGTATATGAGCACCGGTGTGTTGGAGATGCACACTTCAGTCTACAGTGGTTCTCTCCACTACGGAGGCAGAGTATATGACGTTGACTGAAGCTGTGAAGGAAGCTTTGTGGTTGCAGGGATTATTGGAGAACTTGGGGATTGCACAGGAGACCCTTCGGATATATTGTGATAGCATGTCAGCTATCTATTTGGTGAAAAATCAGGTTTATCATGCACGCACGAAACATATCGATGTCAGATTCCATTTTGTTCGTGACGTTTTGGATGAAGGAGACGTCATGTTAGAGAAGATCCACACGAAGGACAACCCTGCGGATATGTTGACCAAAGTTGTTTCAGGAGTCAAGTTTGGTCATTGTTTGGAGCTTTTGAACATTCTTCGATGTTGAGGCCTTTGGAGGCTATTTGAATGAACTACGGACGGCTTGATTCCTTGGGCAAGAGGATACGTAGGCAGTCATTTATGATGCAGCCGATTTGATGAGTAGATACCGACATTTGGTTGCTTTGGTGTCGGCTCAGTTTTGAGAAAACTTCACCGATTTGGAGAATTGTTGGGATGCGTGTGTGGGGGTCTCACCTCACCTCATCACGTGTTTGTCAAAAAAAGATCCAGCGGATCTTTTGAGTGGTCCAACGGATTTTTTGAGAGGCCCACCCAAAAACCAAGTGAGCTTTATAAAACCCAATGTGTTTTCCCTAGGGTTTGGTGAAAAAGGGGGTTTTGGCTGCGGTCTTTAGCGGCTACGGAAAAAAAAGCAGAAGCAAGCAAAGGGTCTTGGATTTTAATTGCGGCTACAGGAATTATTTTCTTTGGTGGCAAAGTCCTTTTGTAGTTGTTCTTTGATTTGTGCATCCCTTTGAGAGAATATTTGTGTGAGGGATCTGAGAGTTTGTGAGAGGGTTTTATTAGTGAGATTGTAAACCCCAATTGTATCTCTCCCTCTATTATTAGATCTCCCCCTCCTTGCCCCGTGGACGTAGGCAATTTGCCGAACCACGTAAAATTTGTGTTCTTGCCGTGATTTGTAATAGCTTGTAGGTTCCCTCGACGCGCAGTCCTAGAGCTGACGAGAGGAAGAGCTGATATCTCACTTTGATGAGATATCTGGCTTTTGATTCTTGTTTCCTTTGAGAAACGAGAATTTTATTGTGATCTAATCTCTTATTGTGCACCTTGCGCACCGGAGGTGCTGCCGAAATTTCCGCTGCGCACAACACCTAACACATAATACATGTAATATAAAATTTTTCAAAAAAAAACACAATACAAACAATTTCGATAATGAATAGAAGGTTATGCACTTGCAATTAATTGCTTCCTAATTGAATTATAGAACATGGTCTCTTCCTGAAACACATGCACTGTGCAGAGTAGTGTGCTAACTTGGTAATTTTGAAAATGAAAAGACATAAATAGTTATTGTTTAGTGTTCTTCGCCTCATTGGTTTAAAACCACCTATATTAAATAGGGTGTCACTATGATGTCTAACTTTAAATTCTAGTTAATATAGAAACTACTTAATTTACAATATGGATCCAGTAGCAACCAACCACTTTGACCTATAACAATAAAAATTTTGAAATCCCCAAAATGCCCTTAAGGAACGCACATGCCATGTGCATGATGTCTTCTTAAACAAACCTAAACCAGAATTCTGTGTGAGCATATATGTGTTTTCAGAAGCATTTTAGGAATTTCAATCTACATTTTGGTAGAAAATAGGTCAAAGTGGTCGACTGCTACTGGAGCCATCTTAAATTCAAGATGATATCTATACTAATTGAACTTAATTAAAGGTCAAGGTGGTTGATTGATAGCAAAAGCCCCCCTCTGAAGGTGGTTTCTATATTAATTGAACTTTAAAGATGGTTTCCATATTTTAAGGGAGGTTTCTGTGAAAGAGAGAGTTACTCTAGTTACCATATCATGTGCCTGGTATCAGACATACTTGTTTTTATTGATTATAATCCTCTAGGACTTGATTATTAATGTATATGTTTGTATTTATTTGAATTGTATTGTTATTATTATTATTAATTAGTTGTTGAATGGAAAAGGATCGACACTAGATTACTTAAACAATTCTAATCAATTACACGGGATGTTAGATTTGATCCACTTAGTCTCCTCATAAATCTGCTCTTTTCCGGTGGTGCGCTTCTGGTCTAATATTTATAGACTTGCCAGTCACAGGAAGCACTTTAAAAATGAAAAACAATTCGAGGTTGGTCTGATATGTGATTAATGTTCAGTTTGATGATTATATCCTTTATTGGAGTCGTCACATAAAGGATTGATAAAATATGAATGGCCAAGTAGCCAGCGATCATCCAGTTACAGGTACCGGAATAATGTTAAATGATGGTAGGTGAAGACCATAAAGCTTGCATCTCATTGCGTCGAACATCGGAACTGGAAAAGCGTTCTTATGCAGTTTACAAACCATCTTTGATTCGTCGTATTTAAAAAAGTTAGACATGTAATTAATATTTCATCTCTGATAATGCACTCTGATCATTTCTCCACCAAAAAAAAAAAAAAAAAAAATCGAGCGTCGGAGCTTATTTACTTGTATGCACCTAGCCGAAAATGGGGCTTGCAACTTGCACGCTTAATTAACTTGTTGCGTTAAGCAGACGAAGGAATATATGCTGCACTTTCCTTTCTCAGATTGTCTATGCTGTTGTGTTGCCTTTCTTAATTAGCATCGATCTTCTACGATTCGTTTATAATCTATTGATGATACTATAGCATTACCCCCATTCTTCGTTACAATTGTATTATGTGCAGGGACAAAAATGAATGGGCAGAAAGAAGATGGATTGCTAAGTATGAATTATGCCCATACCTTGGTGCTTCCCTCTTCATTATATATAAAAACTTAGTAACGCTGCAGTTCTGGGCATGGGAATGTTTTCTGCAAGGATTCTATATATATGGAAAATACTTGGCCGGGTGAGGCTCTTCCTTTTTTTTTTTATTCACAAAAGTGGACTCCCACATATGAAAAGTATCTAAGAGTGGGGTTGAATTAGTACTTAAATATTTGTTGGTCCCCCCCTCTTGATTCCTCATGCTCGTACAATATATTACTATGTATACGATAAGTTTGGAGTTTTTTTTCTTCTTCTAGATTTTCTTTAGTTGTGTGTTGCTTCTAAGCAAAGAGGGGGGAACATACATTCCCTATGTTCTTCTCTTTTTCATGGGTACATGTTTGGTCCTTGTTTTGAAGGACTTGATTTTTCCACCACATTATGTATACATGTTCAAGTGGAGAATTTGGGAAAGGGCTGTGCTGCTAGCGAAGTTTCTTTGAAAACAGAAAGTTTTCGTGCCTTTGTTGTTTGAATCATGTTGATCGTGCTTCAACTCCCAAGTAACCAATGATGTACGCCAACTCAAGGAGAGAGAAGATCTAAGAGGATACATAGAATAGAAGAGCCTTCCCTATTTACGCTCCGGTTCAATTCAGGAGAGAGAAAAGCTAAAAACTTAAACCGGTTTTGTTCCGCTAGACTAGCTTTAAGTGGGGTTGCCGAGCAGGGCTCGAGAGTACCAAGATACCGTCATCACTCATCGGACAAGAAAAGAGACCATCACTGGCTCTGTTGTCAACTGATGATTACGGCATCCGTTTGCGCGAGCTCAACCGCATTTTTGGCGTTCGGTTGTGGATTCTGTCCAAATATCGGAGAGACTTCATGTCGTGTGGGGTTTGTACTCCGAGCGCGCCCCCTTTGCCATTTGGTGGCAACTTGTCGAGGCTTATAACTGCTTCCCACAGTACCAGCTAAAACATCATCGAAGTCATGCATTTTGTGTAATTTTTTTTTTAAATTTTTAAATGCAAGTAAGGATTATGTATAATTTATTTTTTTTAATCCTCGTCTTCTTTTGTTTACTGTTTAGAAACAGAGAGGGCTTTCCAAATTAGTAAACAATTCGTCGAGAGAGATGAACTCAATCTATCATGGGTGGTCAAAACGGTTGAGAGGTTCCAATATGACTTTCGCATTCTTAGGTTTGATTCCGTTTTGTGTGGAGTTAGGTAACTTGTTTTTTTTTACAGTTTCGTGTGCGATTCTTTCTAATTTTAGGCCCAAAAAGGGGTAAATAAATTGGCACTTTGGACGTATTTTGCACAGCTAACTCCTCCCTATAATTTGTCCCCTTCATTCCTCTATCCCTGCAGACCAAAAGGGAAACGCCAAAATATCCGAAACAGAGGCAAAAGGCCGGGACAAACAACGCAGTGAGAGGTCACGCCTCCGAAGTCTATCCACAAACAAAAAAACTCTACACGGACAGCTAGCTGCACAGCCCCATCATTTTTCCCCCCCTTGCGCCAATAATAGACATCCTCTCTCTCATCACCCCAAAAATGGAAACAAACCCCCCTCTCTCTAAACAAACCCATGACGTGCAAAACACCATGGACTAGTTAATTGCACTCTCATGCCCATGGCTCTGATCTACAGTGCAATTGAGTCTCGCAATATCTCCGTCGATAATCTCGAGAATACTGAACGTAATCACGCGATAATTATACTGATAACTATCAAGTCTTTATGTTCTTTCTTTCCTTGTTAGGGTTATCACTAAGTTCAGATATATGTGTATATATATGTAGATACGCATACTTCAGAATCACGACGACCAGTATGATCAACACACCTCAATCTAAGTGAATGTAAGGAATCCAAACATCAAAGCGTCAAACGTTTTGTTCACATCCATCACCAATCAACCCCTTCTTCTCCTCAAACTCGATGTCCTTCTGCAAACAGTCGGCCGCCGTCGTCGTCGTCAAGCTTCTGTCGGCCCGGCATCGCCTCCGACCCCAATCTCGTCTTCCCGACGCAGCCACTCCACCATGCACCGAACACCAACGCACGCCACCTGCCGCGTGAAAGCAGCTCCGTACCAGAGCCCGCCGAACCGGACCTGAGCCAGAAAAGCCAGCCCGACCGCCACCGGCGTCCGCCACCAGATAAAACGACATCAGGTTGATCATTGCACCGACGGCGCGGGCTCGGCCGTCGCGCCCTCAAGGCTACGCCGGCAGCCAAGTGGGTTTGGGGCAGTTGCCGAGCTCGCCAGAGGCCATGAGGCGGCATCACCGAGGCTGCGAGTTGAAATGACGGAGGTGTCGCGTGGTGAAGAGGGAGGCCCGCATTGTTGGCGGAATGCCGCGGTTGCACGAAGACGTTGATGACTCCGATCAGCGGTGGCGCATGGCCGAGGGCTACCATTGCTGCTAGCTTCGCCCTCTTTGGTTTTCCGGCGCCTAACTCGTTTCCCACCTAGGAAAATTCAAATAAAAAAGCAAATGAAAAGTGACAGAACAGTCGCATAAATACAAGTAAGAGGGAATTCGTTCCGTAAATAAAATGTGAACATAAATTATTATTTTTGGGTAACTAAAAAATATTCTTCTTCTTGCTTATATTCAACACTGCTAATTAAAACAACCAAAAAACGTTGTGCAATCCCAATAACCAAGTTCAACATTAAAAAAAAAGGAAACAAAAACATACTACATGAAATTCAAAAACCTTCCAAAAAAATCCCCAACAATTTTTCATAAAAAAAGGTAAAAAAGGAAAGAAAGAAAGAAAGCTCACCCTGGTAGACACACAAGCGCCCAGCCCCATCGGCACGGTATACATATCAAAAACTGCGTCGTCGTGGATCAAAACCGCGTGGCGGCGACGGCCGGGTGGTTGGGTCGGGCAGAAATACCCAGCGCAGCCGTCATGATGTCTCGTAGCACCAACCACTCAAGGCAGACGCCGCGAAGGCAGCTCGCAGCGCCACCCCGCCTCATCACGCGGCAAGCAGCCCCTTCACCGCCGCTGGGCTCGCCACGCCCTCCACGAAGTCAGTCTTCGCTACCCACGCTCCGTCAGCCCTCAGGTAGGGCGAGGAGGAAGAGGACCATGTTCAGGTTGGTGAGCAGGGCGGGCGACGGCGGACCGCGCGGGACACGCGGGCGGAGGGGTGAAGGCGAGGGAGGAAGTGAGAGGGAATGTGGATGAAGGACGGCGGCGGCGGAGCAGGCGGGCCATCGGCTTTGTGATGGGCCGCTGGGAGCGCAGGAAGACGCGGAGGGGCTGGGAGGACGGGAGTTGGTGAGGAGGTCGGGGAGGGAGAAGAGGCAAGTAGGAGGCGCGACGGAGGTGATGGAGGGGTCCTGGCCAAGGAGGGAGGCATGAGGGGGCCGGAGGGTTGACCCAGAGAGGGAGATGGGGACGGAGGAGAGGAGAGGGGACGTATGTGCGTCTGGAGGCGAGAGGGGAGACTGAGGCCGCCAGTTTCCTGGAACCCGACGGACTGCGAAGCAGAGGGGCTCAGCCGCCGGACGGCCAGCGCCGAACAGGACGGAGTAGGCCGGTGATGTTCGTGAAGCGCGATGGAGGCGCGCCGCCCAGCCAGGGCCCAGGGGGCCGAGCGCGAGCCGAGGCAGAGACCGAGACGAAGGGCCCGGAGTAACGACCACGTTCATGGCCGTGACGGGAGGCGGCAGCGACAGAGCGGACGCGGAGCTCGTCGGCAGGCCTGGAGGAGGCCCGGTTCCTGGAGCTCGGAGTCGCTCCTCCTCTCGCCCTCGACTCTCGCCATTTTTTCTCTTCCGTCTTCTTCTTATTTATTTATTTTTATTTTTGAGAAAGCAGGGGACGGACGAGCGGAGGAGCGGGGTTTTGACTTTCGAGAGGTCTGGAGGGGGCAGAGGCGGGGGCCTGGGTATTTTTATGGCTAGGGGTGAGGTTTTGACCGTTAGGCGCCCTCGACTTCTTATTTATTTAGGGGTGAGATTTTTTTTTTTTTTTTTTTAGCAACTGGATTTGGCAGTTTAGGGGTTCTTAAATTGATGGTGCCAGACACAAAAATATGTAAATCCCGAATGGCTAGCTGCATTTTAATGCAGGCTACATTCTCCGAGATTTGATTGAAGTACCTCGTAAATGCAGTACAGCGTGTACAGTGCACCGTATTCCATTAAAACGCTATTATGTACTTTTTTATTATAAATAACTTCAATTGAAACTTTAATTTTCAGTTAATTTATCGAGAGACAGGGGGAGGGAGGAGGGAGGAGACCGTCGGCGGTGATTCTCATCACTATAGCTAGCGAGGCTCGGAACAAGGAAATAAATAAGTATCTAAATATAGGGGGTAAACATGTAAATATGCTAGTTTTTGGGGGGCAAATATGCAAAATCCCAAAAAGTTACTAGCGTAAAATCATCCTTATCCCTAACAAATCATTTACGGTGTCAATCCCTTACCACTTCCTCTGTTTTTTTCCTCCGACGTCCCAAAAATCTTCAACGACTCGTTCTCGCTTAATTCGTCGGCGTCAAAGTTGTCCCCAATATTACATTTACACCGCAAGGGTCAAAAAGGAGAGATTTTCACCCACAGTATCTCGTCGGTGCATCTATATACTATTACTAAAAGTTGTTACCCTTCAATTCACCACTTGGCAAAAATGCCACTTGGCAAAAATGGCCCATACCATTTTAAACAACACTTGACAAACATATCAATTGCTATCTTCTTGCAAGTGCCACTTGTCAAGTTTCTACAAAAGTTCTCCATATTAAATTTGAAATAAAAAATAAAAAATAAAAAGTTCTCCTTGAGATTTGAACTAACTCTCCCTGCCTTTTCAATTTTCCAAACAAGATGCTTCGTAAACTGTTTGAACGCTTCGTAAACTGTTTGAACTGTTTGTATTCTTTTGCTACATTAATTTTTCTATATTAAACAAATCCGTGCATCGCACGGGCCTGAAACTAGTTATATGTTAAAAGGTACCCCAAGCGGTTTCTTTGGATTAGGAGGGAATATTGAGATGATTAAATTTTGATTTGTTGGAGATTTTAATAATTTAGTGCATACTGCCTATTTTGTACATAAATATGTGCATTTCAGACGCATCAAAAGACGAACTTCGAGCCAATGCTGGATCGAGAAAACTTTGGTAAGAGAGCGGACGACAAGCATCTACTTAAGTTTTTTTTTTTTTTAAATTCAAAGAGTTACAAATTTCAAACAGTCTATAAATGCAAATGGGCTACCAAATTATGGAGGTTAATATAATTTATTTAAAATTATGGAGGACAATTTGTAATTTTAGAAGGTTTTCAAACGTAATTTCTTAAATTGCTAGGAGTAAAGGTGCCCATCGCATCCGCCCCATCCATGCTTGGATCCAGCCTATTTAAATGCAAAAAAAAAAATAATTCTTTTGAAAAATAAGTCTTTTCATTGATTATTCTCTTCCCTTGCCTCTAGAATCTGAAGTGAAAGAAAATGGGATAAGATGCATCCGTTCTTTCCTTTCAATTCTATACACCTATGTTTGAATCCATTATGAACGCGTTATATCACCATCATACCAAAAAATAATAGACTAGTGATAATAGGATGAAGTGAATATTCAATCAATAGGATAAAGAAAGAACATTTCTCTTTCTTTTTTTCTTTTTGATGATTCGACCCAAAAATAAGCCTAAAATCGTGAAAGTCATATTAGAACCTCTAAATAAGTGTTCGATTTAATAATAATGGGTAGCAAAAATATCTCCAACAAAAAAATTGGAATCTTAATACTTATAATATATAGGTTCATTTCATAAATGCAAAAAAAAAAAAAAAAAAACCTAG